TAGGACAGATCACCCTGTACCCCTAACAGGCACAGGGTGACATAAGAGGGATATGGGGAGCTGAGACAGGGGGTCTTCCCACCTCTACAAAGTGAGCTGGGTTCCATGGGCCCCCACCCAAAGTGACTCCCGTCACAATGACCTTGACCCAAACACTTACCCAAGTACTGAACTAGATCAAACCTTGATCTAGGTATTTATTTTATAATATTTATCTCTTTTTTTTTTAACAAACATTTTTCCCCTCTATTCCAGTGAAAGGATGATTTTCTTATCCCCTCAGAGACCCCGGTCTGTGGAGAGATTCCTGGTTTATCAGCAGAATTCTGGGAACACCCTTTGAACACGGAAATAACGGTAGCTTATGTTCAGAGATGTTCAAAGTTTATTAGACATTACTAAGATTATATAGGATACAGACAAATTAAGGGAGGGGGGAACGAGTTTCAAAACTGTAACTTGTAAATTTCCATCATGAGCTAACTACATGAAACATGACATATACATTTCTTAGTATAAATTGTTTTTACTAGCTTTCAGAGAATTAGTCGAACAAAGACAATGTCAGGGTCGTCTTATCTTTTGTTGATAAATCCTTGAGCAAACTAAAACAGTTTCATTAAACTTCTAATATATCTGCAAAAACCTAACTTAATACTTAAAATGGCGTACATTAACACAATGGAGGTTATTTAGATCCTTTCAATCCCCTCTTAGATCATGGACATGATCTCAATTCTTTACCTCATTCATCTTTTTGTACATAGCCAGATAACCTTCATTTGTATTTTGTGGCTTGGTGACTCTAGCAATGCAATATAATAAGCATTTAAAACATAGATATAAAAATAAAACAAAAAACAATATCATGACTATGCTTACAGCGATACCTTTCATCCATGAAAAAACGGAACCAAATCCTGATCCTAGCCTATCAAAAGGACTCCATCCATCTTTTCCTATAGCTCTAGCTTCTTCCATTAAAACATCTACCTATTCCCTGTGTTGCTTTATTATTTCATAATAATCTGGAACTGTCATTGTGGTATTATATATCCAAGTACAACATTCATAATCCTCTGTCATCTCACACAAACCTGTCAGAGCAGCACTCATGCTTTCAATAGCTAATTCTTGCATCTCCAGCTGTTTTCTAATAGCTCTGGTCTTGGTATTTAGCAACCCTATGTCCTCTCTCCTCCATCAATATAGAGAGAGAGAAAAAAAAAGGGGGGGGCCGGGCTGTACAGTGGCTGATCACTGTGATAGCCAATCAGAGGCTATCACAGCAATCATGTGACCTGGAATCGGGAGTCTTGTGTCCCGATCATTAGAACAGGATCCGGGGCTATCAGTGAAACCCCGGTCCAGGGGCGGACTGACAATTCATGGGGCCCCTGGGCAATAGGGGATCATGGGGCCCCTGTGTCCTTGCCCACACTCAAACCACACCCAAAAAAACCTATGAAAGGTACCAGGGGCATCTCATGGGGCCCCCTACTGACCCTGGGCCCTCGGGTAGTGCCCAAGTACCCCAATGGTCAGTCCACCCCTGCCCCGGTCTTTTGCTGGGAGCGCGCCGCAGCAGAAAAACAGGTATGCAAATTAGCAGCCACACAGAAAAAAAAACAGTTCTGTGAGGCCACTAATTTGAGTGTGGTCGGCGTCAAGGGGGTTAATATGCTCCCAGCACAAAGACAGGTACGCAAATATGCGGCCCCATGGAAAAAAAGCCCAGTTCTGTGACATGCATATTTGTGTTGTGTCGGCGGCAAGGGGTTAAGATAGAAATACCAGTGAGATAACCCTACAGGTCCAGCACTATTTTTCCACTTTCCTCAACTGCCCAGATAAGTGTGGTGAGTTGGTAAAACTAAAGCTCAACCACTTATTTTTACCGTCATAGAGAGTAGTCAGAAGACCCTCCACAGTTCAGCACACCAGGAAACCATCCTGCCTTTCTCTTTCTGTTAGCTTATATACCAAAGTTGGAAATATAAGGCGGCATGCTACCTCCAAAGCCTATTCTAGCATTAGTTTTTACTAAAATAATTAGATGACACAAAGGACAGAGCTTGTACAAAAGGTCCCCGTTATTCAAAGTGCCTGTGGCAGTCCCATGTCTAAACATGGCCCCCGAAGATCACGTTTTTGTGGATAGGACTGAAAATGTGACAGTTCAGTTTCATTACCATATGTTAATTGTGGAGGCGCCACAAGTTCTCGGACAATAATACATTATGCTGAAACGTGTGCGTATGCACATCAACATACATTTATCAATCACGATTTGAATTTTTTAATAAAAAGGGAGACAATGAAACACCACCATCCATCAACCATATGTCTACCAGAATCTGCTAATTTGCTTTTTAATGATTTGTGTTGGCGGCATTTGCATTCCAAGAACTTGTTGAGACAGGCAGTGAGCTGCTTACAGCTCCGAGCTTCCTCTATCCTCCAGGATGAGCGATAGGCTCCATTCACCCGTAATTAATAGCGCCATCCACAGACTCAGTCATTAGCAGTAACACATGCAAAGGGAATGCATGCAGTGTGTAGTGTACAGTATCTCACAGAAGTGAGTACACCCCTCACATTTTTGTAAATATTTTATTCTGTCTTTTCATGTGACAACACTGAAGAAATGACACTTTGCTACAATGTGATGTAGTCAGTGTACAGCTTGTATAACATGTAAATTTGCTGTCCCCTCAAAATAACACACAGCCATTAATGTGTAAACCGCTGGCAACAAAAGTGAGTCCACCCCTAAGGGAAAATGTCCAAATTGGGCCCAAATTGTCAATATTTTGTGTGGCCACCATTATTTTCCACTACCTTAACCCTCTTGGGCATGGAGTTCACCAGAGCTTCACAGGTTGCCACTGGAGTCCTCTTCAACTCCTCCATGATGACATCACGGAGCTGGTGGATGTTAGAGACCTTGCGCTCCTCCACCTTCTTTTTGAGAATGCCCCACAGATGCTCAATAGGGTTTAGGTCTAGAGACATGCTTGGCCAGTCCATCACCTTTACCCTCAGCTTCTTTAGCAAGGAAGTGGTCATCTTGGAGGTGTGTTTGGGGTCATTATGTTGGAATACTGCACTGCGGCCCAGTCTCCGAAGGGAGGGGATCATGCTCTGCTTCAGTATGTCACAGTACATGTTCGCATTTGTGGTTCCCTCAATGAACTGTAGCTCCCCAGTGCCGGGAGCACTCATGTAGCCCCAGACCATGACACTCACCACCATGCAGACTGTAGGCAAGGCACACTTGTCTTTGTATTCCTCACCTGGTTGCCGCCACACACGCTTGACACCATCTGAACCAAATCAATTGATCTTGGTGTCATCAGACCACAGGATATGGTTCCAGTAATCCATGTCCTTAGTCTGCTTGTCTTCAGCAAACTGGTCGCAGGCTGTCTTGTGCATCATCTTTAGAAGAGGCTTCCTTCTGGGACGACAGCCATGCAGATCAATTTGATGCAGTGTGCGGCATATTGTCTGAGCACTGACAGGCTGACCCCCCACCCCTTCAACCTCTGCAGCAATGCTGGCAGCACTCATACGTCTATTTCCCAAAGACAACCTCTGGATATGACGCTGAGCACGTGCACTCAACTCCTTTGGTCGACCATGGCGAGGCCTGTTCTGAGTGGAACTTGTCCTGTTAAACCACTGTATGGTCTTGGCCACCATGCTGAAGCTCAGTTTCAGGGTCTTGGCAATCTTTTTATAGCCTAGACCATCTTTATGTAGAGCAATGCCATGAGGTGCTATGTTGAACTTCCAGTGACCAGTATGAAAGAGTGAGAGTCATAACACCAAACTTAACACACCTGCTCCTCATTCACACCTGAGACCTTGTAACACTAATGAGTCACATGACACAGGGGAGGGAAAATGGCTAATTGGGCCCAATTTGGACATTTTCACTTAGGGGTGTGCTCACTTTTGTTGCCAGTGGTTTAGACATTAATGGCTGTGTGTTGAGTTATTTTGAGGGGACAGCAAATTTACACTGTTATACAAGCTGTACACTGACTACGTCACATTGTAGCAAAGTGTCATTTATTATTATTTTTTTCAGGTACTTATATAGTGCAGTCAATTTACGCAGTGCTTTACATATACATAAAAAAAATTGTATGTTCACATATGTCCCTAACCTTCAAGGGGCGTACAATCTAAGGTCCCTAATTTACATTTATACATACACATACTAGGGACAATTTACACAGGATCCAATTAACCTACCAGCATGTCTTTGGAGTGTGGGAGGAAACCCATGCAGGCACAGGGAGAACATGCAAACTCCAGGCAGGTGATGCTGTGGTTGGGAATCGAACCAGCGACCCTAGTACTGGCAGGTGGAAGTGCTAACCATTTAGCCACTGTGCTGTCATTTCTTCAGTGTTGTCACATGAAAAGAGAATAAAATATTTGCAAAAATGTGAGGGGTGAACTGACTTCTGTGAGATACTGTACCTGCGCTTTGTATCATTCATCCACAGCATTGCAATCATCCTGAAGTTAAAACGTTCACTCAGATAGCTATAAAAGCTGAATTACTGTTAAATAACACAGAATATATGGAATATATACATTTATGAGAGCTGTTTTACCTGCCAAATGATTTGCATTTCTGTCCATGCAGACCTGGGAGTTACACAGCTGTCTTACTGAACAATCTTGTCTAGCAGGAGAAGGGGTCTGATTTTCTTTACTGGAGTTTCCATTTTACTTACATGGCCACTCGTAAACCCCACCCTGTGACTGACCAGTGAAAGGAGAAGTAGCACACTGATGTGCTCATTTCTCTGCTCTTAGCATGGTTCCATACAATGTGGCACACCTGACTGGTTACTTGTACTGCTTCTCCCTCTCCCATTTTGAACTCTGCTGTACAGTGACTGCAAAAAGGCTGATACCAGGTCAAATGCAGGTACTTACACTGCTTGCATTTAGAAATATACATTAAAGTGTTACTAAATCCAGGACTCTGCATTCACTATATCTGGTCTCCCCAGAACCCTGCATTCACTATATCTGGTCTCCCCAGAACCCTGCATTCACTATATCTGGTCTCCCCGGACCCTGCATTCACTATATCTGGTCTCCCCGGACCCTGCATTCACTATATCTGGTCTCCCCGGACCCTGCATTCACTATATCTGGTCTCCCCGGACCCTGCATTCACTATATCTGGTCTCCCCGGACCCTGCATTCACTATATCTGGTCTCCCCGGACCCTGCATTCACTATATCTGGTCTCCCCGGACCCTGCATTCACTATATCTGGTCTCCCCGGACCCTGCATTCACTATATCTGGTCTCCCGGACCCTGCATTCACTATATCTGGTCTCCCCAGAACCCTGCATTCACTATATCTGGTCTCCCCGGACCCTGCATTCACTATATGGTCTCCCCAGGACCCTGCATTCACTATATCTGGTCTCCCCAGAACCCTGCATTCACTATATCTGGTCTCCCCGGACCCTGCATTCACTATATCTGGTCTCCCAGAACCCTGCATTCACTATATCTGGTCTCCCAGGACCCTGCATTCACTATATCTGGTCTCCCCGGACCCTGCATTCACTATATCTGCTCTCCCCGGACCCTGCATTCACTATATCTGGTCTCCCGGACCCTGCATTCACTATATCTGGTCTCCCCGAAACCTGCATTCACTATATCTGGTCTCCCCGGACCTGCATTCACTATATCTGGTCTCCCCGGACCCTGCATTCACTATATCTGGTCTCCCAGAAACCTGCATTCACTATATCTGGTCTCCCAGGACCCTGCATTCACTATATCTGGTCTCCCCGGACCCTGCATTCACTATATCTGGTCTCCCCACGCTGGACCCTGCATTCACTATATCTGGTCTCCCCGGACCCTGCATTCACTATATCCGGTCTCCCAGAGGACCCTGCATTCACTATATCTGGTCTCCCAGGACCCTGCATTCACTATATCCGGTCTCTCCCCGGACCCTGCATTCACTATATCCGGTCTCCCCGGACCCTGCATTCACTATATCTGGTCTCCCCGGACCCTGCATTCACTATATCCCTCTCCCCGGACCCTGCATTCACTATATCTGGTCTCCCCGGACCCTGCATTCACTATATCCGTCTCCCCGGACCCTGCATTCACTATATCTGGTCTCCCCGGACCCTGCATTCACTATATCTGGTCTCCCAGAAACCTGCATTCACTATATCTGGTCTCCCAGAAACCTGCATTCACTATATCTGGTCTCCCCGGACCCTGCATTCACTATATCTGGTCTCCCAGAAACCTGCATTCACTATATCTGGTCTCCCAGGACCCTGCATTCACTATATCTGGTCTCCCCGGACCCTGCATTCACTATATCTGGTCTCCCCAGACCCTGCATTCACTATATCTGGTCTCCCCGGACCCTGCATTCACTATATCTGGTCTCCCCAGAACCCTGCATTCACTATATCTGGTCTCCCAGGACCCTGCATTCACTATATCTGGTCTCCCCAGACCCTGCATTCACTATATCCGCTCTCCCCGGACCCTGCATTCACTATATCCGGTGTCCCACAGTACACACAACGTGGAAATGCAATTATTTTAGTAAATATAAATTTCTAAATACCTTTTCTCATCAGCAGATAGAGCAGTCTTGTGACTTCTATCAGTGTCCAGCAGAGCACTGGTTAAAGCTTGTAGGAGGAGTTTTTGTTTTCTCCTATGAAGCTGCAGAAACCCCTGACCTCCATCTGGACAGTACTGATTGGCCCTGTGCTGATCACATGCACTCTCCCCAGAAAAAAAATATCCTCTCTAGCAATACACACCAAACTGAGCATGTGCATAGTACACACATTATACATTGTTAGGCATGCATTTAATTCCTTGATATCCTCTAGATGTTAAAGTGTGACTAAACCCAGGACCCTACATTCACTGTTTCTGGTCTCCCACAGTACACAGAACATGGAAATGCATTTATTTTAGTAAATATAAACAGAAAAATACCTTTTCTCATCAGCAATATATAGCAGTATTATGACTTCTATCAGTGTCCAGCAGAGCACTGGTTAAAGCTTGTAGGAGGAGTTTTCATTCTCCCGATTGTGCTATGAGACTGCAGGACCCCTGACTGTCTGGACAGCACTGATTGGCCCTGTGCTGATTACATGCACCCTCCCAAGAAAAAAAACTAGCAAAAACACACCAAACTGAGCATGTGCAGCTTGCCCCCAAGGCTCTGTTCTATCAGCAGATGGATTGGGGACAGCAGAACGGGAAGATCAGAGAAGGCAGGATCAAACATCCTTTTTACACAATGCAGAAGATTAACCCCTTAGGTTCCACAGTGAGTATAACAAGCATGCTTTACTGCATCTACAGACTGATCCTACTGTTGTGGGTTTAGTAACACTTTAAGGATGTATCAATGATTACAGAGCAGTATTCATTTTTGTCTTTTATATCTGCCTGTGTTTTATATCAGCTTTAAAATTTGTTTAAAGGGAAAATCTGCCCGGGGTTCAGCTTGAAGAAAGGAGGCCTCCTCCATGTGTGGGGCGAGTCCCTTGAAGCATTTTCGCTAAGGTGCTCCAGCAGGTGGTCTCAAGCTGATGTCATCACATACAGTACAGTAGTCCTGCATTGTACATGAGGATAGCAAGGGACCACCCACTTTACCCCATAGTCCAGACATATGAAGAACACGGGAGATTGTTGTCACATGTATCACACAGTCAGTACTTGCCAGATATTCCTGCAGCTCCTTTAATGTTGCTGTAGGCCTCTTGGCAGCCTTCCAGACCAGTTTTCGTCTTGTCTTTTCATCAATTTTGGAGGGACGTCCAGTTCTTGGTAATGTCACTGTTGTGCCATATTTTCTCCACTTGATGACTGTCTTCACTGTGTTCCATGGTATATCTAATGCCTTGGAAATTATTTGTACCCTTCTCCTGACTGATACCTTTTAACAATGAGATCCCTCTGATGCTTTGGAAGCTCTCTGCGGATCATGGCTTTTGCTGTAGGATGCGACTAAGAAAATGTCAGGAAAGACCTACTAGAACAGCTGAACTGTATTTGGGGATAATTAGAAGCACATTAAATGATGGCAGATGTGTACTGACTTTTAACATGATTTTGAATGTGATTGCTCAATTCTGAACACAGCTACATCCCCAGTTATAAGAGGGTGTGCACACTTATGCAACCACATTATTTTAGTTTTTTATGTTTACTTCTCCCCCCTAAAAGATTTCAGTTTGTTTTTCAATTGAGGTATACAGTTTATAGGTCACATTAAAGGTGGAAATTATTTATCTTTGTCTCATTTTTTTTACATCACAGAAACCTGACATTTTAACAGGAGCGTGTAGACTTTTTATAACCAGTGTCTATGTAACCCCTCCCCTTTTAAAACAACCCAGCTTAGAACAGGAATGAAAGACAAATTTTATATATATATATATATATATATATATATATATATACACACACACACACAGTGGGGATCGAAAGTTTGGGCACCCCAGCTAAAAATTTGTATTAATATGCATAAAGAAGCCAACGAACGATGGAAAAATCTCCAAAAGGCATCAAATTACAGATTAGACATTCTTATAATATGTCAACAAAAGTTAGATTTTATTTCCATCATTTACACTTTCAAAATAACAGAAAACAAAAAAAATGGCGTCTGCAAAAGTTTGGGCACCCTGCAGAATTTATAGCATGCACTGCCCCCTTTGCAAAGCTGAGAACTGCCAGTGTCATGGATTGTTCTCAATCATCATCTGGGAAGACCAGGTGATGTCAATCTCAAAGGTTTTAAATGCCCAGACTCATCTGACCTTGCCCCAACAATCAGCACCATGGGTTCTTCTAAGCAGTTGTCTAGTAAACTGAAACTGAAAATAGTTGACGCTCACAAAGCTGGAGAAGGCTATAAGAAGATAGCAAAGCGTTTTCAGATGTCAATATCCTCTGTAAGGAATGTAATTAAGAAATGGCAGTCATCAGGAACAGTGGAAGGTAAAGCAAGATCTGGAAGACCAAGAAAAATATCAGACAGAACAGCTCGCAGGATTGTGAGAAAAACAATTCAAAACCCACGTTTGACTGCACGATCCCTCCAGAAAGATCTGGCAGACACTGGAGTTGTGGTACACTATTCCACTATAAAGAGATACTTGTACAAATATGGTCTTCATGGAAGAGTCATCAGAAGAAAACCTCTTCTACGTCCTCACCACAAAAATCATCATTTGAACTTTGCAAATGAACATATAGACAAGCCTGATGCATTTTGGAAATAAGTTCTGTGGATCGATGAGGTTAAAATTTAACTTTTTGGCATGAATGATCAAAGGTACGTTTGGAGAAGGGACACAGAATTTAATGAAAAGAACCTCTGTCCAACTGTTAAGCATGGGGTTGGATCACTCATGCTTTGGGGTTGTGTTGCAGCCAGTGGCACAGGGAACATCTCACGAGTAGAAGGAAAAATGGATTCAATAAAATTTCAGCAAATTTTGGATGGTAATTTGATGCCATCTGTGAAAAAGCTGAAGTTAAAGAAAGGATGGCTTCTACAAATGGATAATGATCCTAAACACACCTCGAAATCCACGGGGGATTACATCAAGAGGCGTAAACTGAAGGTTTTGCCATGGCCTTCACAATCTCCTGACCTCAATATAATTGAAAATCTATGGATAGACCTTATAAGAGCAGTGTGTGACAGACAGCCCAGAAATCTCAAAGAAGAACTGGAAGACTTTTGTAAGGAAGAATGGGCAAAGATACCTCAAATAAGAATTGAAAGACTCTTGGCTGGCTACAAAAAGCGTTTACAAGCTGTGATACTTGCCAAAGGGGACAGTACAAGATATTAACTCTGCAGGGTGCCCAAACTTTTGCAGACACCATTTTTTTGTTTTCTGTTATTTTGAAAGTGTAAATGATGGAAATAAAATCGAACTTTTGTTGACATATTATAAGAATGTCTAATCTGTAATTTGATGCCTTTTGGAGATTTTTCCATCTTTCCTTGGCTTCTTTATGCACATTAATACAAATTTTTAGCTGGGGTGCCCAAACTTTCGATCCCCACTGTATATATATACACCATGTTCCAAATTATTATGCAAATTCTATTTGTCACAAAGATTAAATATTTTGTTTTTCCGTTTAACTCATGGATGGCATTGTGTGTCAGGGCTCTTTTGATCACTGAAAACAATCTCGGACACCTGTGATAATTAGATTGGCCGGTGAGCCCACTTTAAGGAAAAACTACTAAACCACTTTAAGGAAAAACTTCCACATTATTAAGCAGAGCACCATTTTCAAGCAATATGGGGAAGAAAAAGGATCTCTCTGCTGCCAAAAAGAGTGAAATCGTTCAATGCCTTGGACAAGGTATGAAAACATTAGATATTTCACGAAAACTTAAGCGTGATCATTGCACTATTAAGAGATTTGTGGCTGATTCAGAGCACA